TCCCCGGTGAGCGGCCGGAGGGGAAGTGCCGGGGCCACGAGGTTGTACGCCTGAAACTGATACAATGTATGCCAACTGTCCATAAGAAATGAATTCGAAAACATTTCTGAGAAAGGACCCCTCCTGCAGAGGCACGTGAGCTCAGACCCTGCGCAGGGCGCGGGGGAGGGCGGCGGGCCCGGGGCGCCTCAGGCCGTCCTGTCGGGGACTGAACGCTGCCGGACGCAGCATGGGTGACCCTTTCCCACTGTTCCGGCGGCGACATCAGCGGACGGGGCCTGAAGGCGGAGGCGCAGGGGCTGGGAAGCCGCTGTTGGCCTCTGGGTTTTTGTTTCCCGACGAGTGAAACGTTAGTTTCGTTGTGGTTTCCTCTGTGAACGCGCTCCCCTTTGTTTTGCCCCCTAAGGCCCAGAACGCCCAGCAGCTCCACGAGCGCATCCAGTCGTCCAGCATGGACTCCAAGCTGGAGGCCCTGAAGGACCTGGCCAGCCTGTCCCGGGACGTCACCTTCGCCCAGGAGTTCATAAACCTGGACGGCATCTTCCTGCTCACGCAGATGGTGGAGAGCGGCACCGAGTAAGCACCTGTCCTCGGACTCCGACCGCCCGTTCTCTTAGCAACCTGGGTGTTGGTCACTCTCCTTGTTGCAATTTCTGGTTTTAAAGACCATAAATTGACTAGGCTCGGGGAAAACAAACAAACAAAAGAAATGGCTTTTAAGATAGTGTCTGGAGAGCGGGTTTGTCATTTAAGTATCACTAGATGGTCTACCTACCAAGGAGCAGGACCAGGTATTAGGGGACAGGCCTGGGTGGGTGCCGTAGGAAGGAGAACCCCACAGCCAGGTCAGTGGGTTCTGAATTCCTTAGGGTATCCTGGAATTTCAGACTTATGAGGAAAAATATTAGGTCACTATCTCAAAGGGCCTTTCCAACACTAACATAATAATTCTACAAAATACAAAGCCCTTACATCCCTCGCCCATCCCCAAGAAAAGTTCTTTCCCTGACTCAGTTAAATGAAAATGAGAATAACTCCTTACAGTCTCAAAGTCTTAAACCAGGTCAAAAATAGCATCCCTGAAGTAAGTTTTTAAAAAAGTAATGTTTGAATGATAAAATACGGACCTTAATTATTTAAAATTAAATGCAGTAAATACCGACTGTATGCAGAAGAGTCAAAGTTGGAAAAAGTTCTAAAAGGCTGAGAGACTTGCCATCTAAAAACTTATGGCAGCAGAAGTCAATTTAGGTATAATTCCTTCTGAGGGCTCTGAGTCTAGAGGTTGGACCAGCTGGTTCCCGGTACCTTCCAGAAGGGGTGTCAGCCAGGGGGCCATGAAGGAGTTTTATTTCATCATGAGCAAGAAAGGGATGGACATTTCCACTGGGGAGCTCACCTTCTCGGGGAAGCCTTTATTCTCTGGCAGGGCTGGGGAATGTAAGGAGCCAAATGGTGTGGCTCCTACGTGGGCCGACAGGTAACTCCCCAGACCACTGGATGCCGGGTTAGGATCCACAGGAAACAGCTCCTTGCCACTGTCACAGGCTGTTAGGGCACGTGGGTTAGAGCATGTGAAAGTGCTGAGTCAGGTAATTACATATTAACATGCCAAGTTAATAATTATGGGCAGAATTGGGTAGATATTTATTTAGAAAGAATTGGTGTTTAGACCTGGGTGACAAATCTCTCTTCAGTACCTGGCAATTCAAAGAATGAGCTGATGACTGCATGCTGGAGCCAGCTCAGCCCCCCTTCCTCTTCCTTCCTGTCTCCGCCTGCACTGGGGGATTATTCAGCCTCTGCAAGTGGCACCAGTGAAAGGTTCTTTTTTTTATTTCTTATTCAAAGAGAGGATGTTTTCTAGCCACAGAGTATCTCCCATGTGAGAATGTTCGGTAGAGTTCTGAGTTGGGGAGTCTTACCTCATAGACAGGTAGAGACAACATTTAAGAGCGAACCAGGGGAAGTTACAAAACTAAGAGGACTGGCGAGCAGGCTTGGTGTCTGGGGGGGTAGTTGTCAGTAGCTCTCATTTATTTTTTGAATGATGCCTGACATGCTGCTCGGGAAGTTTTTGGCCAGCATCAGCTTGGAGTGGGCAGGGAGACTCGAATTCGGGGTGCTATCAGAATCTGAAGCAGTTACTATAAATAGGAGTTGGAGCTTGACACAGCTGGAGGGAAGCAGAAGGAGTTGATGGATGCAGATGGCCTGACCCAGGACAAGGAGACTGAGGGGCCTGTCTGTGTGGAAGCTCCGGGCTGAAACCCAGTGTGGCTTGTGGGAGGCCCCTCCTTCCTGTTACTGGTGGTTACACACACCTGCACTGGGAGCTGTGGGCCACGTCCTGGGATGGCCACACATGGTTGGCCCTGCTCCCTGCCCACCACTGCTTCTGGCCAGACGTTGAGCCCTGCGGGGTTCTGCCTCAGTCACTTTTACAATGTGTTTAAGCAAAAGGTTGAAATGCCCCCACATTGATTAATGCATCAAAGTCCCAGCCATGTACATATCAAAAGCAATGTAACACAGTCAGTTAGGCTTACACTTTCCAGGATCCACAGTAATATTGTGTTACTGGGTCTACATTTACCAGAATCACAATCATAATTACAGTTACAGTGTTAAATCCACTGACAGCTGAGGTCCCTGTGACATGCACCCTGAATAGAGGCTGGGTGAGAGCTCAGTACCGCCCGAGGCTGGTGGTTCTGTATTTTGACAATGTGGGTTTTAGTTTTTCATTTCTCATCATATCAGTTTGCTAGGGTTGCTTTCACAAAGTGCCACAGACTGGGTGGCTTAAACAAGAGACATCATTTTCTCACAGTTCTGGAGGCTGGAATCCTGGGGTTGGCGGGGCTGTCTCTTGGATTTGTAGACGGCTGCCTTCCCCATGTCCTCACATGTTCTTTCCTCTGTGTGCACATACCCTTAGTGTCCCTGTGTATGTCCAAATCTCCTCTTCTTCTAAGGACACCTGATAGATTGGATCATAGCTCATTTGAACCTAATCACCTCTTTAAAGGCTCTGTCTCCAAATACTGCCCATTCTGAGGTCCGGAGGGCAGGGCTTCAACATAGGAATTTGGGGGGCACACAGTTGAACCCGTAACACTCAACAAGGGGACAGTGCCATATTTGCTTAAAAAGAGCACGAGTAAAAAGGGATACTATGTGTTTGTGTTTCAACATGATCACTTCTTACCTGAGCCATGGCCTCACTGTTAACTCATCTTGATCTGGAGAAGGGCCCCCCAAAACCACATCCCTCAGACTGGAGACTGGGGACATGAGAGGATGTTGGAACTGAGTGACTGTATGTGAACCCCAGTAATGGAATTCCTTTTTAAAAAAGCATATTATACTCAATGTAATGTTTAACTTCTTACAATTCGTAAGCCACCCCAGTCTGTTTCCTGCAGCCAGGCTTTAGGCAGACGAACACAAGCGAGGGCCAGGTCCCCGTGAGCTCCGCAGGCGTTTGCCTCCCACACTCACTGTGGGGGATGCCGGTGCTCTGCAGCACCTCTCCCACCCTCCCCACCGTTTCTGACCTTCAGAGTCGTAGGCAGCCTCCCGCCTCCCTTCTGCAGGGTCCTGCCGCTCATCCTGAGAAGCTGCTCCTTCGATCCTCTGCTCCCCCCCAATCTTTTGCTCAGTTGAAAAAGAAAAGAGAGGCATTTTTCTTACAAGGAAAGAGGCTTCTCAGTTAAACTCAGAGCAAGACTTATAACTAATTAACAGGAAACCGTTGGCATAGAAGCCCCACAGGTCGAGCAGACCTGCAGTCTGGGAGGCCTCCCTGGACCCGGGCAGACTGCCCGCTGGGCGGCCGAGCTTTCTAAGCAGAACCCCAGGACATTCTAGGAAGCGCTGAAGAGATGGAGCTGGAATGTTTCTCCTGACTTTGAGCTCTAATGAGACTCAGAGATTACTCACCTGCTTGTCATTACTGGGGGCTGAGTGTTCAAAGGTCTCTCTCCAGCCGGTGCCAGGAGGGGCCAAGGGACAAAATTGGCCACAGAGGAGCCTCCGGGAAGTGTCACTTTGGCAGAGTCCCGTGTTTACAACCTGAATTTAATTTCTCCATCCTGCGGAATTTGGAAATTCCTAGTTTCAGCTTGACCCGTAAATGTGGAAGCAAATAAATTTGTGGGGGAACAGGGTGCCCCAGCCTGAGTAGGGGAATGGGGTCAGGTAGGGAACGTTCAGGAACAGACAGGGTGGGAAAGGAAGATGGGCATGACAAGGTATCTCAGGGAGGATGTTTTATTTTACTTCAAAGGAGAAAAGGGGGTCCCTGCCGCCCCGACCCCACGGGCGAGGGAGACAGCCTTTCTGGGTGCCGACGGGCGCCGCTGTCCGCGCGGGCCTCTGTGCGCCCAGCAGCGGTCACCCCGTNCACACCCTCACCCTCACACCCTCACACTCACTCACACCCTCACACCCTCACACACCCTCACCCTCTCACACTCACACCCTCACACACCCTCACACTCACTCACTCACACCCTCACACTCACACCCTCACACACTCACACACCCTCACCCTCACACCCTCACACTCACTCACACCCTCACACCCTCACACACCCTCACCCTCTCACACTCACACCCTCACACACCCTCACACTCACTCACTCACACCCTCACACTCACACCCTCACACACTCACACACCCTCACCCTCACACCCTCACACTCACTCACACCCTCACACCCTCACACACCCTCACCCTCTCACACTCACACCCTCACACACCCTCACACTCACTCACTCACACCCTCACACTCACACCCTCACACACTCACACACCCTCACCCTCACACCCTCACACTCACTCACACCCTCACACCCTCACACACCCTCACCCTCTCACACTCACACCCTCACACACCCTCACACTCACTCACTCACACCCTCACACTCACACCCTCACACACTCACACACCCTCACCCTCACACCCTCACACTCACTCACACCCTCACACCCTCACACACCCTCACCCTCTCACACTCACACCCTCACACACCCTCACACTCACTCACTCACACCCTCACACTCACACCCTCACACACTCACACACCCTCACCCTCACACCCTCACACTCACTCACACCCTCACACCCTCACACACCCTCACCCTCTCACACTCACACCCTCACACACCCTCACACTCACTCACTCACACCCTCACACTCACACCCTCACACACTCACACACCCTCACCCTCACACCCTCACACTCACTCACACCCTCACACCCTCACACACCCTCACCCTCTCACACTCACACCCTCACACACCCTCACACTCACTCACTCACACCCTCACACTCACACCCTCACACACTCACACACCCTCACCCTCACACCCTCACACTCACTCACACCCTCACACCCTCACACACCCTCACCCTCTCACACTCACACCCTCACACACCCTCACACTCACTCACTCACACCCTCACACTCACACCCTCACACACTCACACACCCTCACCCTCACACCCTCACACTCACTCACACCCTCACACCCTCACACACCCTCACCCTCTCACACTCACACCCT